GATAAGGAATGACAAATGAAACTATGTACTTTGTAATGCTACAGGACTAAACACCATGGTTAATAGAACACCGCCACACACACACCCCCAAAGTGGGATAATGGCCTTAAACAACTTATAGGTCTTCAGCGTCATCAGTTGAGAGCCCTTCCCCCAACACCAATTGCTACTCTGGGATCAGAGTAAAGAGGGGGGCAAAGAAGACAGTGCCATCTTGTCTTCAGGGGAGTATCAATTATTTATTTTGAAAGCTGTTTTAACAATTATCTGCAAATACAGGTTGCCTTCCCATCCATCCTTGACCTGATGTTTTATATTGTGCCTCAGGGAGGCAAAGAGCAAACTTAGTATTCTAAGCAAATTAATTATCATGCTTTACATATCTTGCTATCGTTTCCCTTCAAATAATTTCTGGCTAATGATAACCCTAGCATTATTTCTTTCCCCCAAGGATGTGGATTGCTCAAGTTCACCCTGGGGCACTTCCAGACAGCGGCAAGATCCATTTTAATCCGGGTATAAAGAACCCCGGTCGGGATGGACTGTAGTCTGCACACTGCCAAAGAAATCCACGCTTTCTGGGATTGACGTGCCAGGAGAGGGGGGACAGGAGCAATTTTCCTCCTTTCCCCACCTTTTCCAGTCTAATAGAGGCCAGATAAGTTCTTTTATTTTTAAAAGGGGTTTTGGGGGTGTTTGGTGACCTTGCCATTTTCAGGCTGATTTAGCCCAGAAAAACGTGAGACTGCTGTCTGGACTGCCTTCTCAAAAATCCAGAACTTCTGAGGGCACAACCAGACAGCAGAAATAGTGTGTTTGCCCCACACCTTCCAAGAGGGATCATAATAAACCCACTAACAAATTGATTCATGACAGGGTTTTCCTACTTTGTAGCAAATGAATTCATTTTTCTGTGGAACGTCATTTGGACATCCCACTTTAAAATGTGGGAGCTCCCACTTTTAAAGGATTGTCTGTATGCGCCCCTGGATTTCCATGGACAAACCAGGATTCAAACCCTCTGTCACCTTCCTAGGTTAACATTCAAACCACTACAGCATGCTGCCTTTCTTATATAACTGTATAGACTTAATTGGGAAAAACTATGTAGGGACTGATTAAGATGTTAATATCAAATTGAGCAGGGCTCATTAGCCAGATTCATCCCAACAGGTCCCACTGTGCTACCTAATGACTCTACTTCCAGGGATGAAGGAAACCTTAATAACCATAAAAGAGAATCTAATGAATATAAAGACCTAGTCATGAATACTGAACAGCTTTGAGTAAACAGAATCTACCAGAGCTTGGAATGTTCTATCTTTATATCTAATTATTTATCATTGCACTTCTGGGAGCAGGGAAATAGTGGGTTTTGTGATAGACCTATTTTAAGAGTAACCTTCACATACCTGTTTCTTTAAAGAAGTTTAAATTGGGTTACTTTCAGTGAAAACAATCTGAATGTTATATGCTGCTGACCTGGTACAAAAGATACCTTTCTCTCATCTATCTCATTGCTGGGTCAACACCAGGAACGGAGTATGATGCAGCTTCATAAGGCATAATTCTATGTAAGCTAATAGTGATACCATATGGTATTCCTTTTCCTCCATTTTTGAACCCTTGTTCCTCTAAGTATTAAAGTAGCTTAAAGAAATTCTAGTTCACCTGCATGTTTCATGATGTTATCCTGCATTGTACTAACTTACAGTTATAATGCAACCAGGGTAAATCTTTCTTGTAGGAAGAATATTAATGATAAATAACTAGTTCTTTGAAACTGGCTTCTCTTTGCCTAGGGGCAGAAAAATGTAGCAAAGAAAAAAAACTTAGTGAGAAAAGTTACTATTGGAAAACTTGGGGCTTTTCTCATTCTAAAGGATCAAAAGTGCGAAATAGACGTTCAGATGGTAGAATATCATCTTGTGGAGACACTAGATTTCTCTAATATGACAACTTTTTTGGGGTTGCTTCTACGTACAAAAATCAGAACTTGGACTGAAGAGATTCAATTCGCTTTGGAGTGCCTACACAAGCACCCCACATGCTAGATTTAGTGCCTCTGTAGAAGGTCCCTTACCCCCTTTGCATTAACAGGAAGACTCTGGCAATTAAGTGTTTTTAATGGTTTTTGTATGATTTTTATGTCATCTTAAATGTTTTTAATTGTATTTTATGACTATTCTGGCATCAAATTGCTACCAATTTGACAGCGAAAAATAAGGTCTAGCCAATGTTTTATTTTCATTTCTCTCTAGTCTTAATTGACTCAATAATTTGTTTCCTGGGGGAAAAAAGTATGAAGTCTGATAACTTATACTGAAGGATTGAATGAAAGATGCGGCACAACTAGCAATTCTGATAATAAGAAAATGATGGGCATCATTAGGATTACCATTATTCAGAAATTATTTATTATTTAAATGATTAAAGGGAAACAATAGAAAGTTATGTAAAGCATGATAATGAGTTTGTTTAGGAGACTAAGTTTGCTCATTTTCACCCAAAAGCACACTAGGGAGAAACACCAAAAGGAAAGTATTTGAGCATCATGTTTAAAATATATATAAATTTATTCCAACTAGAGTAAACATATGTGGGGGGTTTTTTGGGGGGGATTTTATTTGTTTGTTTTATGGAGGCATTGAATGTTTGCTGTTGTGTGTTGGAATCCGCCATGAGTTCCCTTAGGGAGATAGGGCTGAATACAAATAAAGTACTTCTTGTACTACTTCTTCTTCTTCAACAGAAAATAATGGACAGGTTTGGTGGGTATTGACCTTGAGTTTTGGAGTTGTAGTTCACCTACATCCAGAGAGCACTGTGGACTCAAACAATGATTAATCTGGGCCAAACTTGGCACAAATACTCAATATGCCCAGATGTGAATACTGGTGGAGTTTGGAGAAAATAGACTTGACATTTGGGAGTTGTAGTTGCTGGGATTTATAGTTCACCTACAATCAAAGAGCATTCTGAACCCCCATCAATGATAGAATTGGGCCAAACTTCCCACATAGCACCCCCATGACCAAAAGAAAATACTGTTTTCTGATGGTCTTTGGCAACCCCTCACAATCTCCCCCCCAGGGGACCCCACCCCCAGGTTGAGAAACGCTGATTTAGAAGACTATTTCTGAAAAAATGTTTTCAGAATTCATTTCAGTTCCAGCTGACTGTATTGGGCAGAATGAGATCCTGAATTAAAACGCTTCACTACCTCACATTACAATATTTGAAATTTTCCCCGAAGATGTCATGCAATTTTTCTGCTTCTTGGCAGGGGGTTGGATTGGATGGCCCATGAGGTCTCTTTCAACTCAATGATACTATGAATTTTCCTAACTGAGGGTTATTTTGGGGCTTAACTGGCCCAGATTACACAACAAAGGGCCATAGACAGTATTTTAAAAAATATATCAATGAACAGTTTTCACAAGAGATGTTGTGTCCCCATACATGTTATTATTAAAATCAATGTAAGCATCTGTATCTCTTATAACTTCCAGTTTTCTAGGAAAATCGCATTATTATGTCACAAAATGATGCCTGTCTAAAAAGTGTGTCACCAACATAAAATGTTTGGAAAGCTCTGTTCTACAAGATGATTGCCTCACACAATTAATGTATAAATGACAATTTGTTATTTGTGGATCCAAAGTTGCTTATGAATCTCAAAAACAAGCTGGCTATATTTTCCAAAGATCTGATGACATGACATGGACAGGGGGGTGCATGTGATGTCATCATTCTTCACTGCTCCATTTGAGCAGTGAAGAAAATCTGGGCAATTTGTTCAAAAGCTCTGAAATTTTACGTTTCCAATATGTTTGTCATTTTTTTTGCTACATTCAAGCAGTGTGCACCCAACACACAGTTTGTAAAGCACTGTTATTGGAGGATACAGATGCTGACAAGGCAAAATAAGACCCTAATAAAGGTCTGACTGTTTTTGTAGAGCACAGCATTACAAGGCATGACCCAGTCTCCAAGTCACCTAAACCACAACAGAATTCCCAGCCAAAGGGCTAAAGGTGGGGAGAAAGCGTAGGCAGAGAGATCAGCTGGTAAAGAGTACAATCCTTGCTGAGAAGGAAAAAAGAGAGGTTATTTAAGAAGCTAATGTGATTAAAGGATCTCATTAGAAGATGGATTGCTATTTTTAAATGCCTTTGAATGCACATATGAGTATTCTGGTTGGCTATTTAGCCAGGCAATATGTATCTATAATTATAGTCATGTAACCTGCTGATAATAAACATGTCTGGACTTGAAAAGCATTCACTTGCTATTTTAAAGTCAGTAGCATCTGCACATCATGCCTTAGAAGGCTGAATGATCCAGTGATAGTTTTCATTATACAGATTACAAACAAAGAATGTTTCCAGCCCCTGGTAGTATCAGAATTAGTAGAATGTTGTTCTTCAAAATGCCAAGTTTTATAAAATATCTTTATAACTCCCTTGGCAGTGCTAAAGTGAACCCATCACAGGATATCTTGACAAAATTAGTTCAGTCAGTTCCCTTTTGTCTTTCTTTGAGGCCAAAAGAATGTGACTTGTCCAGTGTTACCCAGTGGGTTCCCGTAGCCAAGTGGGGATTTGAACCCTGATCTCCTAGTATCTTAGTCCATCCAACAATTACAGTACTTTCCCCATAAGAACACTGATATGAACTTTACTGCCTATATTTAATATTGTCCATATGATTAAAAAAAATGTCTCCACAGGCTAATAGACCCCAGGAGATATTGTTTCTGGGGGGAAATGGTATAAGGAACAACCAAGAAAAAGGAAAACATGTTTGCCTCCAAAACAAGCAACTCTGCTTCAAAGATCTAAAAACGACTCAAGTTAAAAGTACCCTTTTCTAACTGCAGGTTGCATCAATTCAGTGATTCCCAACCTGTGGTCCATGGACCATCAGTGCTCTGCAAGAACTAAAATATGGTCCATGGCCTCATTGTTACCCCACCAATGCATAATGAGAAGCACAACTATCACTTTTATTTTATTAGGAACAGATATGTCCCTCCAAGGTCTCTGAGGGAGAGGGTTAATGCAAACATGTTATTCCAGGTGCTTGAAACCACTCTTCCCAAAGGTAGTGGTGGTATTACATTATTAATCACAGAATCCTAGAGTTGGAAGGGCCATCTAGTCCAAACCCTGCCACGCAGAAACACACAATCAAAGCACCCCAACCTTTTACTTAATGGGAGGTTGTGAATAAAACTGGCGTGTGTCTCTGTATCGTGGCCTATATTTATAAAGTTACTGCCACTTGAGTCACAATCTCTGTTGAAATGCTGAGGTCTGCAAAATATTTTTGAGTTTTGAAAGCATTCTGGAGATTTTCACACCACATACTGAGATCTGTTTTCATGACAGGATACAAGCTTTCTGGGACACTGAAAGAATAAAACCGGACTCTGAAGTCACTGCTTATCTTACAGAATGTGGCTTGGATTGTAAAGACCCTCAATGGGACTAGAGACAAGCAGTTCTCAAAGCTCTTCTGGGCAGGAAAACTATAGGCTGCTGGAAAGCCCAGCAAAACACCAAAAAGAGTACACAGATTACATTCAGTGGAGATGACAGGGCTGGATGAAAGGATCTGAGATGTGTCTGTTGCCTGAGCTTTAACATGACTCAGTATCTCAACAAGGTGGCCTTTTATGAAATCCGCATCTTCGGGTTCGCAAAAGCCGGGGCACGTCCTGGAAGCAGCCACATCAACGAAAAACACAGTGTTCTTCTGCAGGACCATTTCCAGCCACAGTTGCATCGTTTCCAAATTGATGAGGAAGACATTTTCAGCAATGCTGAGAATGTGCAGCCGGCCTTCAAGCTGACTGATGTTCTGAAGTTCCTGAATGTAACTCACAATCTGAGAAATCCCAGCAGGAGTGTAATCATACAGAAAAGCGGGCTTCAATCCTGCGGCTACGGCAAAAATCTCCCCCGCCAAGTTCAAGGAGGCCGAGGGAGACAAACATTTCTTCTTTCTCATTCGTAGGTGTTGTCGAGCCACAGCGATAAGAAGCTGAGAGAACGGCTCCGTCCTCATCATCCTTAGATGGGTTCAGTTTTGGGAGCCTCTGAATTGCCCATTACCCCCAGCCTCTGCTTGCTAGTTCAGCCGGGATCTAGAAGATAATACAAAAACAGAAATTAATACTGCTGAGAAAAACCCCTCGGGTGTACTTTTTTGGCCTTAAAACGATCATCCCTGACAGAGAAATAAAGAGTATATAGGAGTGAATCCTAGCTTGTAAGACTGAATCTGCCCCTCCTTGTGCTTCCCAAAAGGCCAAAGTCCTACTTTCACTCTCATCTGATCATTTCCCCCACATGCATTTGTGTTTGTTTACATGGTGGGACCCAGGGTGCATCTACCCTAAAGCGTTCACAGAGTCTGATACCACCTAAACTTCCATGGCTCAGTGCTGGTGAGCCCCTTTTAGCTCCTCCTGCACAGCTGGACCATCCTCTGCTACCAAAATGAAGGGGCATGGGCTCACCAGCACTTCAAATGCACAAACATAGGAGTCCCAGAAAGGTCCAGGTAACAGTGCAAGGAGGAGGCCATAAGTTGAATCCTTACTACAAAGGCTTTTATTGTGGGCCTAGCAATAACAACAAACATGCATACAGGCATGCAATCAAAGGTTTGTCACACACACACACCCAAATGGGGCTGCAAAGCTTTTATCACTTTGACAGTAACTTGAAAACATATTTTCATTGGTGTTCAAAGATCAATCATTTCATTGGTCTAAGCTGGCTATACAGATGCTCACTGGCTCTTTGACTTTGACAGGCATGAAGGCACACGTGGGACCTTAACAATGGCACAACTATAATCTATTGTTCTCTGGCCATGAATACTCAGTTGGAAAGCAACTATAGGTCGATACTTCAGGCAACTGGGAAATTAGGGAAATATTATGAAGTGCTTTTTGTCCAACTCTGGTCCTTGGCAGTTCTTTCTCTATACATCAGCATTTTTGCAAACAAAAGCCCTCTGCAAAAGCAGGCACGTGTGACAGTATGGCAGTAATCGGGACATATAGGACTTACAGTCATTGGAAGCATCCCTGAAAATTCCCTTTTAAAACTACGCCTCACTCACTATGGAACATTTGTAGTTTCACAAGGTATTTCACTTTCTTTACTAAAGTGTGTGAATGCCTCACCAAACTACAAATCCCAGGCTTCCATAACATTTAGCCATGGCAGCAAAAGCTATGTCAAACTGCTTTAGTTCTAAAGTGAAGATGCACTCCCAGAGAAACCCTTCTCCCAAAACTATTGGGAAAACCAGGAATCTCCACTGGCTTTTGAAAGCCTGACCCTTTTGGAGATTAATTGGCATTTACACTATTTGGAATCATCATAACCTTCTGGAAAGGCATGCCCTAGTTAGAGATCATAACCTTTTGTAAAGTGTGATCTTCCTGAGATGAGTTAAAAACTTGCTTGAGTCAATCTTCTCCTTAGAGATAAATTTCCACTAGTATTCATGCAAGGCAATTTAGGTTTCTCAGCTGTTAGACTGGTATACCTAGTTATCTCTTTGAACTGTTAGGAACAAAGATATGCCAATGCATAAAATATATAGCAGATCTTTAGAAGTGTTATTTAGGTTGCATATATATGTATATGTGATATATATATATATCTACTCTCCCATGAAATATATTGCTTTTAAATCATGTTCTCACTAGACCAAAACATAAGAAGTCTTCGTTAAAAGTTAACATTGTTGATTTATTTACAAACTTCATGTACATTGCTTATTGGTTTCATGTTGTCTTCTGTACTATACTGTACTATACATCTGCTGCAAATAGATTCCTATATTAACTAACATCTCACTGCAGCATACTGAACATAAGTAAAGGTTTCCCCTTGACATTAAGTTTAGTCGTGTCCGACTCTGGGGGGTGGTGCTCATCTCCATTTCTAAGCCAAAGAGCCAGTGTTTTCCATAGACACCGCCAAGGTCATGTGGCCGACATGACTGCATGGAGTGCCGTTACCTTCCTACAGAAACGGTACTTATTGATCCATTCACATTTGCATGGTTTTGAACTGCTAGGTTGGCAGAAGCTGGAGCTAACAGCAGGAGCTCACCCCGCTCCCTGGATTTGAACCGCTGACCTTTCGGTCAGCAAGTTCAGCAGCTCAACAGTTTATCCCGTTGCACCACCGGGAGAGCCTGAAACAGGGCACAACATCATTAAAACAAAGAGACAAATACTATTAAAACACATACAGAGTTAAAATGCAAATTAAAATCCACTGATGAAACATAGATTAAAATCCAGAATTTACAATTGGCTGAATGGCCTGCCGCAAGAGATGGGTCTTCAATTGCATCTTAAATTCTGACAGGTGATTTAGCTGTGGCATTTCTTCAGGCACGTCATTTTCCCTTTGTTTCTTTATTCAGCTCTTTAATTGCTTCATCACACATGGTGCAGTGGGTTAAACCCTTTCTTTTTTTTTTGGTCCTGTCAGGAGCGACCTGAGAAACTGCAAGTCGCTTCTGGTGTGAGAGAATTGACCATCGGCAAGGACGTTGTCCAGGGGATGCCCGGATGATTTGATGTTTCATCATCCTTGTGGGAGGCTTCTCTCATGTCCCCGCATGAGGAGCTGGAGCTGATAGAGGGAGCTCATCCACCTCTCCCTGGATTCCAACCTGCAACCTGTCGGTCTTCAGTCCTGCCGGCACAGGGGTTTAACCCACTGCACCACCGGGTGCTCCATAGTTTGGTAAAAAGTGACTGACAGATCAGCAGTTCAAATCTGGGGAGAGAGGGTTGAGCTTCCTCTGTCAACTCCAGCTCCCCATTTGGGTACATGAGAGAAGCCTCCCACAAAGATGGTAAAACATCAAACATCCGGGTGTCCCCTGGGCAACGTCCTTGCAGACAGCCAATTCTCTCACACCAGAATCGACTTGCAGTTTCTCAAGTTGCTCCTGCATGAAAAAACATCACACTAGAGAAAAAAATCTACTTACAATCCGGTTTCTGCCTAATGCAGAATCCTGGGGTTTGTAGTTAAGTAAGGCTGTTAAGGTGGCGAGACTATACAGAAGATCTGTATAGGAAGGATAATAATATTGAGGATAGTTCTGACGGTGTGGTGAATGAATTAGAACCAGACATCCTGAGGAGTGAGGTTGAATGGGCCTTAAGAAGCATTGCTAACAACAAGGCAGCAGGAGATGACGGGATCCCAGCTGAACTGTTTAAAATCTTAAAAGATGATGCTGTCAAGGTTATGCATGCCATTTGCCAGCAAATATGGAAAACACAAGAATGGCCATCAGACTGGAAAAAATCAACTTATATCCCCATACCAAAAAAGGGAAATGCGAAAGACTGCTCAAACTTCCGTACAGTGGCCCTTATTTCACATGCCAGTAAGGTAATGCTCAAGATCCTGCAAGGAAGACTCCAGCAATACATGGAGAGAGAGTTGCCAGATGTTCAAGCTGGGTTTAGAAAAGGCAGAGGAACGAGAGACCAAATTGCCAATATCCGCTGGATAATGGAGAAAGGCAGGGAGTTTCAGAAAAACATCTACTTCTGCTTCATTGACTATTCTAAAGCCTTTGACTGTGTGGATCATAATAAATTGTGGCAAGTTCTTAGTGGGATGGGCATCCCAAGCCACCTTGTCTCTCTCCTGAGGAATCTGTACAAGGACCAAGTAGCAACAGTCAGAACTGACCACGGAACAACAGACTGGTTCAAGATTGGGAAAGGCGTACGGCAAGGCTGCATCCTCTCACCCAACCTTTTTAACTTGTATACAGAACACATCATGCGATGTGCGGGGCTGGATGAATGCAAAGCTGGGGTGAAAATTGCTGGAAGAAACATTAACAACCTCAGATATGCAGATGACACCACTCTGATGGCCGAAAGCGAGGAGGAGCTGAGGAGCCTTCTAATCAAGGTGAAAGAAGAAAGCGCAAAAGCTGGGTTGCAGCTAAACATCAAAAAAACCAAGATTATGGCAACAAGAATGATTGACAACTGGAAAATAGAGGGAGAAACCGTGGAGGCCGTGACAGACTTTGTATTTCTAGGCGCAAAGATTACTGCAGATGCAGACTGTAGCCAGGAAATCAGAAGACGCTTACTTCTTGGGAGGAGAGCAATGTCCAATCTCGATAAAATAGTGAAGAGTAGAGACATCAGAATGGCAACAAAGATCCGCCTAGTCAAAGCCATGGTATTCCCTGTAGTAACCTACGGATGTGAGAGCTGGACCTTAGGGAAGGCTGAGCGAAGGAATATCGATGCTTTTGAGCTGTGGTGTTGGAGGAAAGTGCTGAGAGTGCCTTGGACTGCGAGAAGATCCAACCAGTCCATCCTCCAGGAAATAAAGCCCAACTGCTCACTGGTGGGAAAGATACTAGAGACAAAGTTGAAGTACTTTGGCCACATCATGAGGAGACAGGAAAGCCTAGGAAGAACAATTATGCTGGGGAAAGTGGAAGGCAAAAGGAAGAGGGGCGACCAAGGGCAAGATGGATGGATGGCATCCTTGAAGTGACTGGACTGACCTTGAAGGAGCTGGGGGTGGTAACGGCCGACAGGGAGCTCTGGCGTAGGCTGGTCCATGAGGTCACGAAGAGTCGGAGACGACTGAACGAATGAACAACAACAAGGCTGTTAAAGGCTTCTCTCTAAACTACAAATCCCAGAATTCTGCAGGAGGCAGAAACCAGAGTGACACCTCTAGAGAGAAAATCCTCTTTAAATCTGGTTTCTGCCTCCTGCAGAATTCTGGGATTTGTAGTTTAGGGAGAAGCCTTTAACAGCCTCACTTAACTACAAACCCCAGGATTCTGCAGGAGGCAGAAACCAGATTTTAAGTGGATTCCTTCTGTAGTGTGATGAGGCAATGAGGCTGGATCCCAATGTATGTTCCCCCACTTCAATGCGCCACTCAGTGGTTCAGAGCGCAAGGCCTTTGAGGAGGGCGCCCCCTTTCGGAGACGCATGGCGCGCCCCGAGTCCTTCCTTGCCTTTGGAGCCTGCCTTTCCTGCTGGGAACAGGGCGGGAGCAGCACATCAGAAGAAGCTACTGCTGTTGTTGTTGCCTCTTCCTCCCTCCCAA